ATGTGCTAAAAATTGCTCTAGGCCAATGGAATTTGTGGTCATAACAATCGTTTTATTGGAAAAATTAGCTTCTTTTTTTTTAAGGGTACTTGGTTTAACTTTTTTCGGCAATGAAAAATTTATTTAAAACTTGAACAATATCAGGTTTTGTTGAGTGTTTTGAGCTCGTTCCAATGATGTATAATTTAAGACAATGAAATGCATAATAGTATCGCTAAAATTAAAAGAACAAGAAATATGCAATTCTTCAGCTTTAGAAGAAAATTTATTGGAACTGTTTTCAAAAAGATTTCTTTCTCAACAAGCAAAAGTTTCCCAAGGCTAAAAGCTTGGATTTGTCGATAACTTTGGATGGAGAATCTGAAAATTGTATTTAAAAAAATATTCATTTTTCGCAGGTTTGATCGATACAATTTCTCTTTAGTACGCGTTTAGCATTTTCATCACACTTGAAATTCTTTAAGCATGTTTTTATTCCTTTAATTAGTTTTAGTTCAAAACGGTGTAAAAACGGCACCTTTATGGTTGAGTTCCGTTATTAGACCGTTTTCATAACGTACCTTACGTTTTTAAACCGTAAATTAACGGTGTAAAAACGGTACATTAACGCTGATCGTAAACGGCGTGTTTTTATACCGTTTTTACACCGTTAACGAGTCGTTTTTATGATGACCGTTAATGAGTCGTTTACACGCCGTTAACGGACCGTTCTGTTTGGCCTGGGCAGTGTTTTTGAAGATAAATTGTAAGCAGAGTCTGGTAATTTATTATCATTCTTACATTGATTTTTCAAGTCGATTCCAAGAGCGTCAAACAATACTAATTTATCTTCTTCACTAAGTTTATCATCAAGGAGAGCTTTAGATACCTGCTCAACGTAAAATTCCAGACATTTACTGTCATCTGTCTGAAATATCCAACGATGTATAATAAGTTGGAAAAAATTTTTGCTGGAAGTTCGCATTAGGCGCACCTTGAAAGGTAAGAAGTGAGGGAAGGATGGATTTTATATTTTCACTCAAATCTTTACATCAGAAAGATAGCTCTCACAGTTACGTTAAGAACATTGTTGAATTTAAAATATTTATAACTGCTTTATTCATTTTAACTGAGTAGGTTAAGATGGTTAATTACTTTTAAACTCAACAGTGGTTAGCTATCTTTCTCTCCTTCTAATATTGTTATGCTTAAACTCAGAAATTCTATTCTTAAAAAACGTCGAAATGAAAGCTTATTTAACAATTTATTAATAAGTTACAATGCGTCTAAGACTAGTTGCTGTACTTTGTATAGTTGCTGTGCACTTTCATTCTCTATATTTTGTAAATTTCACAAACTCGAAAAATTATCATCTTCTCTGAGGAAATTAATTTTTAATTCATTGTGACGGATCGTCATGTGCTCGAAAACGAGAACACAATTTACTCTATACCAAACTCACTCTAAGCTATTTTGTTGATGGTGGCACTGTAGGAAAAGATGCAGTTATTAAGCCAATGCTATGTACAAATTGTTTGTCGTGCAGCTGAACAAGTTCAAAAACACTCGTTGTCGATTGAACGATATTTGACATTGTTCGCGAATGTGACAAGTAAAAAGAATCTGTAGATAGCATTGGCTTAATAAATGCTCTGTTAAAGCTTCATTCCACAACCGTCTGAAATCTTTTTCATTATCGGTTTTCCATAAATTGTATCGACTTTCATTACTTAGATAAAAGCAACCATGTATATGCATTGGAATATCAGAGGGAATCGGTAACGGTAAAAAACAATATAGAAAATATTCTTTCAATGATTGCTGAATTTGTTCATCATTGGAATTAGCTGAGTCCAATGTTGTTGGAATAGGTGCTTCGTTTAAAAGATACGCACATGCACCAACTGGAAGACATTTTAAAGTATTAAAATGTACGAGAACATCTTTATATGTTGATTTCTGAATACTTGGTCTGAAACCAATGCCATCAGCAATTAAATACGATTTTATATCCTCACACAATATGTGATAATATATCCTGTTATATTCTTTCGTGCTTCTATCCGCATCTACACGTGTATTCTATATATACACGTGTATATTCTATATAACAATAATGACATATGTCACGTTATAACCGAATGATACGTTCATCTTGCAACAGGTCTAATATTTTTAAAAAAGAGAGGATGACCGTTGTATATAGACTAGAACCTTTGTCTTTATAAATTTTATATCACTAAAAAATATTGTGTCACATTTTATGTCGTAGTAAAATGTGTCGCAGCTCCTGTGAGAAAATTGTGCGGCAAAAGAATGTGTTGCATGACTGTATCGCCGTTACTAGGAATGTTTAGACACAGTTGTTGAAGTCATTTCAGGATCTGCTTCAAAAAATTGCTAAATTTTATGTTTTGCCATTTTCAGTAGTCTTCATTAGGATTTTTCTCGGCTTTTCTTCAATTTTGATGAGGTATAGGTGGCGCTAATACGTAAAAGATAAGAAAATTTTCTGGCTTTTTTTTTTCAATTTTGAATTGATGTTATTCCTGGATAAAGATTCCTGTTTACGTTTTTTTAACCTTTTTTCTATGTTAAACATTTTTTCTCTGACGAAAAAGAACTAATCCGAAGCCTTGCCTACGCTATTAATTCCAGATCTCGGAAACTAAATATTTTGCAGATCTGCGAATATTACGGGCGGATTGAGCGTCGACAGAATGTAGTGCACCCCAAACGAACTAAAAATATTCTTAAGATCCAATTAGAGGTCAAAAATACTTAATTTCCACGCTTTTCTCTATGGTAGAAATACTCAGCGGAATGTGTCGCAGATTACTATGTCACAATTTGCGACACATTATTTTTTAGCGCGTAGAGCGCATCGAGATGGTTAAAAAATGTATTTCTTCGTTTTTGAAAAAATTTTTTTCATGGTAAAAAGTTTTAAAAGCTTGAAGGGCGTAAAAATCCGAAAAATCCTTCAGGTTCAAAAGAATTCAAATTTTCCTTGTCTTTGTAACTCTGGATTTTCTGAAGTATTTATTTCTTATTTAGAATTAAAAATTGAGTAGAAAATGGTGTTTATTCAATTTTAAAGTTAAAGGCCTGTCCAGTATGGCCGAAACGGGCTCTCCTAAAATACTGCCAAACAATTTTATAAACCTATCTACTAGTTTTTTTTGCGAAGGTCTGAAGCCGTCATTTGAACGGCATTAGATTTACTGTAAGCCCGGCTTTAAACATATGCTTTGCTCTTTCTAAAATTTAATTAAGTTGCTGAAAAAATTCAGTTTTTCTAAATCAGAGAAGGAGTCGTTGGAATTCTGCCCGCAATTCTCGATTTTCTCTAACAGAACTCAACTTCTATGTAATACGAAACCATATTTGGAATCGGGATCAAAAACTGAGTCGACTAGTGTGTGTTTCGAAACTTTTAGTTGATTTTCATTTTTTTGACAATCTCGATAATTTTCCAACGTGAGAAATTTAATAAATTTAAACTAGTCGGATAGGATAAACATTAGTCAGCTCAGTTACTGTACATCATATTATATTATATTATCATATTATTCCAAATATGGTGTACAAACGTAAACTCGTAACCTCATGAATTTGAACTACTTTAGTAACTACTCGAAATCGAGCAACAACAACAATAATAAGGGAACCTTGTGAAGATCCGTGTCATTAGATGGAAGTCTGTTTTGAAATGTTTGGGTTTTGCTCGAACTAACACAATTCTCACAATGCAAGGCCTGTCTAAACGAGAAAACGTATAAGCGATATCTTAGCACAGCTAGTTGACCCAAAGTGAATCAACAGTGTGGATAAATGCCTATGTCCAACCATAGACTTTACGGTCCCTTAAGATCTGCTTTTATGCAATATGTTAGCAAACAAAAGATACAGCAAGCGTCTAGGCTGATGGGATACTTTCTATCAGTTGCTTAAGTTGCTAGGACGGACAAAGTTTACCTTTGAAATCAGCTTGTGAAACTGACTAGTATTATAACAAAACAACGCTGGATCTTGAACTGGCGCATAGTTTTGTATTGTATCTATATTTGGTAGATCATATTGTGGTGTAAAAATTGTTTTTGTTGAATGATTACGTGGATCAAAAATAAAGTGAACTATCGTTGCACTAGCATCATCTGCATTTTGTAGTAGTTCTTTTAAAATGTCTTTATCTTCTGGATATGACTCCAATAAATGTCGAATTCTAATTGTTAGTTCTTCGTGTTGACCAAATGGAATACCAATAGAGCAATCTTCAATCAATTTTTGTCAGAATATTTTTACGCCCAATATTTGTGCAATATCCGTTGGTATGCCTTTGTGTAATGTTGGAATATCATTTCCAAATATATTTTGTTCGTTTTCTACTTTAAAACATAAATGTACAGCCGACGTTAATATTCCTGTACTGTCAAGTAAATAAACTTCTTCATTTTTATCAAATATTTTTTCATTCATAATTGCTGATAATTCTAATATCATTCTAGTTGCATAATTCAAATCTATTTTTGACAATGGATCATCTCTATATTTTTCTTTCAGTGTTTTTAAGCGCTTAAAAAACATATTCGCATGTGAAGTGCATTTTAATACTTAACTTATTGAATAATTTGTGTCTCTGATACGCTTTTGGCAACTGAACATAGAATGGTGTGCATGGATGTTTAACAACTTGAGCAACATCATCCACACTATAAAACTGTCCATCAATAAAAATATATTCTTTCGACATTAATTTTTTAACTTTTTCTACGACATTATCATTTGTTAGTCCTGGGCCTATGAAATCATAAATCTGACTGACAATATCGTATCTAAATTGATCCACATTATTTATATCCTTTGTTGTGCTTCTGTTTGTTGACAATAAAGTTCTTTCTTTTGACGATTCATCTTTCAGTATATGCATTTGTTTTACTACTGATTCTACGCTGATTTCTCTACTTAAACAAAGCGTTTCGCGTACTCTGTCATTAACCAATCTAGTTTCATCTAGAAAATCAACACTACCACAAAGACGTTCATAACAGTCGCTGTATATCTCATCGGTAGTCGCACAGAATCGTTTCTTATTCGTTCAGTACCATTCAATTTTGTATAATGATAGCTTTTGTTTGACCGGTATAAACTTGATATCATATAACTTTTTAATATCTTCACTTGTTCTTGTCTTTTGTAACGTTTGATCTAAACAATTTAGTAACAATTTGCTACGTTCACATACTTTTTCATATTCATTTTCGTTCATTTTTTCTATAGCATTTGCACGTTCTTCAACATAAGGCAATGGTAAATACATTTTCATCAATCCTAAGTGGCATAACTTCTCAACAACTGCTTGTTCACGATAAACCAAATCTGGAAATGCCTCATGTGGCTGATCAAGATCGTATAACTTAGCAAATAGCGCACTGGGATCAATTAATGATGATGGAGCTTTGAATACGCCTGTTGCAGAACGTACGCAATTAGTTGCTTGTATTATATTACCAATTTTTGTTTGCTTACTCCTTTGATCAAGGGATTTTTCTGTTATAAGATAAATCATAATTTGGTCAAGCGCATTTTGATTACATCGTTGTACAACTTGTATTAGGTTTTGAACAGAACTTTCGTCATTCCAGACTCTGTCTTTAATGGAATTTGGATATCTGAGTATTCCATTTAGGATGGGTGTTGGCAGAAGTATAATTAACGGGTTAAAGTTTAAAGTTAAAGAGAACAATCTATAAATGTTGAAATAGTAACAGTTGCCTAGAATAGTGACTAGGTTTTCTTTATCACTGTATTTTCCAAAGACCGCACTGTAAAAAATAAAGTGGGTCACCAGTGAGTGAAGTCGTTTCAACAGGTAAAACGGATCCATTTAAATAGGTCACTGACCTACTGACGCCACAGTTTCCTCAGTGGCTAAAACGGATCCATTTAGATGGATCGCGCTGATCTACTCTATTTTTTACAGTACGGAAGATTATAGTAGAATAATCTGACTTTTTGCCTAATTGCGATTAGAAACATACTTCTATGTTATTTATAATACCGCAAGCTAAAACCAGTCACCATTTTAATCAGAGTCATTTATTCGAGAAAGTTTTGGGTACTAATAAATATCCAACGTACTTTTCCATTAGTTATACGTCTGATATGTCAGTAGGCTAAAAGTATAAGCTAACTATATGTCTGTCAATACCTAATAAACAAAACTTTTCAGATAACAATAAAGCTGTATAACCTAAAGCACATTTTCTCTAGTTTTGTTCACTGATTTCAATGAAATAACTCATCTGCGCCTTTTTCCGTTCAGACAGCGCTGCAAAAACTGAATATTTACCATGAACCCCTCAAAGAAAGGAGTACACAATTCAGAACTTAAGCAGATCGATTTCTGAAAAATCGAAAGATCAGCAGCTTATCAGGAAGCTTATCAAAAATAGGACAGTTCGGCATCATCCGGAAATCGCCGTCGCCGCCGGTTCTTGTTCGGCTGATTTCTTCGACGCACAGCTGTATACTGCAAGGCACGGAGATTCGTTTGCATTTTTCGATACTTCCCGTTAAGTCTGTGCATGTCTATCTGCACTTTTGCTCTTGTACACTTTCACACTTCAACACTTTTGCTCCTGTATATCTTTTGTCTTGTACACTTTAACACTTCTGCTCTTCTACACTTTTGCTCTTCTACACTTTCACACTTCAACACTTTTGCTCTTGTATACTTTTGCTCTTGTACACTTTAACACTTTAACACTTTTGCACTTTTGCTCTTCTACACTTTAACACTTTTGCTCTTCTATCACTTGCACAGTTCCACACTTTTGCTCTTGTATACTTTTGCTCTTCTACACTTTAACACTTTTGCTCTTCTACACTTTAACACTTTAACACTTTTGCTCTTCTACACTTTAACACTTTTACTCTTATAGACTTTTTCTCTCAAACACTTTAACACTTTAACACTTTAACACTTTTACTCGTAGACTTTTTCTCTTGTACACTTTAACACTTTTACTCTTATAGACTTTTACTCTCAAACACTTTAACACTTTAACACTTTTGCTCTTCTACACTTTTACTCCTATAGACTTTTTCTCTTGTACACTTTAACACTTTTACTCTTGTACACTTTCACACTTCAACACTTTTGCTCTTCAATCACTTTGGAGGGTATGTGGTGGGTGAGGGGTGGGGGCTGTGAGAGTGAGTGCAGAAAGAAACACCGAATGGGTGAAACGGTCTATGCGCTTATGTGTAATTGTGAGCGTGAGATACCAAGTGTAATCGGTCTGAAGTCGGAATCTGTGAATGTAGTCTGAATCGGTGGAAAACAAATGGAGTTCGAGAGGTGAGCTCGATTCAACAAATTTCGTTTCATTGAAAACGAAAAGCTGCACGATATGTAAAGGAGCGTCTTTCTATCGGGTGATATCTATTTCATGATTTTTCAAACTGTTCTTGCTTAGAACAGAATTCAGTCAAACGAATTATGATGGATTAGAGTTTCTATTTCTAACGTCGGTTTTTTCTCATACGTAAAGGAAAGAAACACTGTTA